AGAAAGTCTGATTAAACCGAAAAAATAAAATAATGAATGTACAAGCTTCTGTTAAAACTTGAGAGAGAAAATATAGTTGGCAACACATTTATTTTTATTGAGTAAAAAAAATTCTTGGCATATTTATTAATTGCGTTTTATTTTTCTATTAAGAAGCAAAAATGGCGTATTTTAGAACGCATAGTTAATCTTAAATTAGGACAAATTATTATGGCGAATTATATTGGCTGCAGGTTGCCCTACCCCTCAAGGCTGGAAGGTATAATAGGCACACGCTCACCTTCCTAACTTTCCGTAGATGCCTTTATCAAGCGACCCAATTATCAGTTAGTTAACCATAAACCAGATTCTCTATTCCATCAGGTCATCGAATTTTGAGAGTTCTCCTAGCTAGACAGGCCCTCCGCCCTTTAAACAGCTGCAAAGAGAATGGGATTTACTTTTGGTTTGTAATTCTGGCGCATTTCTTGGATACCTGCGAAATATTCCCTTCCTTTTTACAATCCTCTGGAAATGGCTATAAATTCCTTGCAGCCATTTTATATAATTTTGACTTATTACCGATAATCTTCCCCGCTCAATTGGACTCAGATATAAAAGAGATATCATTTTATTTTTTGCTACTAGAGATGTATAGGTAGGGAAATTTCCCGATCCCTTACTATAAATATAATATATTATTGTAAAAATTATGATTTGCATAACTATGATCGTAAATTCATTTCGCAAATTAGGCCATTTTTGTATTTGGCTTAGCTTATGTAATAGCTATAAATAAAGATTTTATCTTATATATTGCTAAAAGAAAACCTTTGAAATTATCTGGTATATTAAATAAACATAAATCGAATAATTACTTGCATATAAATTCATATGAATATTGTAAGTTTTCAAAATCTTGTGATCAAAGGAGGCCCTCCCAAAATTATGATTTATATATTTAATAAAATATAAATATTATTTTAAATATTCTTATTAATTTTATTTATTTAGTTAATTTATTTTATTTTATTCATCAAGTTAATTAATATTTAACAGAGACCTGCAGGCCTGGTCCTAGGAAAAAAATTTTGAAAAAAAATCCGGGCCGGGCCGTACAAATGGTACCTCTGTAGGTCTCTGATATTTAAGTTAATAAGGGCATGAATATTATACTTAATCTTCATAGGTCATCATAAAAATAAGAATATATAAAAAAATATAAAGGCAGACAGGAATTTTTCAACCCTTTAAAGGCTATCGTGAAATTAATTTCTTCGAACAAAGAACTTAAAATTTAAAAAAAGGCTGTAAATTAAAGGAAAGAAAAAACTAAATAAAAACAAATAAATAAAGTATACAAAGCAATCATAATATGAATTTTTCTTATGATGTTTAAAAAACTAAAGACGATTTTTTTTCCCCAAATTCTTAGGTGACATAAATATTTTTATAAAAAATAAAAAGCTTATATCTTAACGGAAAACCTTCGCCGATAACATATAAAATTACAATGCATGAGCTGTGAGGTAGTGTTGTTAAATGGCTGAGCCAAGCTAGCTTAGCCGAAAACTCAGCCAGTTTTTGAGCCAAAAATTCGCCTCAGGCTAAAGCCGGCTCATTGAGCCGATGGCTCAAGCTCAAGCCGATTCAAGGCTAATCCGGCTAGCCGTTTAACAACGCTAACAAATAAATAAATTTCGAATCAATAGTCGGCTTGAGCTAAGTCATGAGCCCACTCGAGCTAAATTTGTCTCAAAAAGCTGTCAATTTTAGACTCAAAAACTAGATGAGTTTTCAGCCGTTTACCAATATTAATCTTAAATAAATTTCGGCTTGAGCCAAAATGAAGATCATAATAATTAAAAAAAGGTCTACGACACTTATTTCATCGGTATGGCAAACTTTTGTTTTTTTTCTCCCGAAGTATCAATATGATATTGCACGAAGTATATTAAAGATCTGCAAGAGTAGGCCCGGCACGTAACTGGTCCGAACGGGCTTCGGGCCTATATTTTTAAAAAAAATCAGGTTCGGGCTGGGCCAGGCCTAATATTTTTTAAAAAAATTTGGGCCGGGCCGGGTCGAGCTTAGGCCTGATAAATTTTTTTATCTAAATTTATCAATTTTATGTTGAATTTTTTATGTAAAATAAAATATTTGATTTTATTTATAGGAACTAGACGCCATATAACATATATATCGTTTATTTAGAATTATTTATAAAAACTAATTTTTTATATTTATAAAAAATCGGGCCAAGCCGCTAAATTTTTTCATAAATAATTTCGGGTTCGTGCCGGGTCGGCAAAATTTTAAAAAAATTTTGGGTTTGGGCCTGGCCAGGGAAACTTTTTTAAAAAAATTTCGGGCCGGGTTTTAAAAATAAGGCCCGATGCAGATGAATTCCTGACGATATTTAATGTTTATTTAGACAAAACTAATTCACAAGTTTAATCATACATAAGTATTCATTTAAAAAAATGTTATATTTATTTTAAAAAAAATAAATACGGAAATTTTAAATCATTAATTGTATTTGTTTGAAATTTACTTTTTTACAAAGTTAGATTTTATATATTTTTTTTTATTTTAATATATTTTAATATTAAATTTTTTATAATTATTATTTAATATTAAGCTTATAAAATAAAATCCATGCTTTTTTAGTTTATGTAAAAAAAGTAAATAAATTAAAATAATTTATTTTTTTTAAAAAAGTAGGAGATATACAAATTATTTTATTTTTAAATTAAAAAATATGGATTATTCATTTGACGAATATTCTTCCTCACAGTCTCAGCCACATCTGGAAATTACAGGAATGTGAGGCTAAATTTAATAATTATGTTCTATAATTTAAAAATTATAATTAATTTTAACGGAAAATCTTCTCCGACAACATTTAAATAAAACTACAATCCATAAGCTTTTAGGTGGAATTCAATAATTATGGTTCTATAATTTAAAAAATATATTACATTTCATTTTATATAATAGGTGATATAAATCTAAAATGTATTTATATTAAAAATAAGAATTTAAAAAAATCGAGAATATTTAATCGCTACGTAAATTATATTTATTTATTATAATATAAAATATTATAATAACGTTAATACATTCTGTAATTACTCGCCAACACAAAAATATCATTCAGTGTTGTTAAAAGATACTTTTTTAAATGGATCTAGATACAGATACATCGTCTAAAATAATATCTAGATACCGTTATATCTATCTAGATACAGATACCACATTTTTATATCTAGATACAGGATCTAGATCCTTTAACAACTCTTATATCATTACATATATTTGAATTATTGAATAAACTAATACCTATATTTCTAGTAGTGTTATTAAAAAGTCCCATTTGGGTCGATTCTTGAAAATGGTTCCGATTAAGATTTTAGCCAAATAATTAAAATATTATATAAGCCTGAAGATTTTGCTCAAAGATGGCAGAAAGGTCTAGATTCTATTTGCCAAATTTTGAGGCTTACATAATATTATTTTGGTTATGATATCGGGCCTTTTTTAAAAGACCCAAATCGGCGATTTTATCTTCCTAGTTATTAATTACATTCATAACTTATTTAATCATGATTTAGAACTAACAACTATTTTACCAGCTGTTTCTATGAGAATCCCGTATGCCAGGACTGATGCAATGAAACAGGAATTGAACGGCTGGCCTATGGACAGCATCATAGAGTCTGTGTCTCAAGTCAGATGGGCAAGATTATTAGCACTTGTTATCAAAGGAGACAGCTCCGTGAGGGTATGCGCTGACTTGAAGGACCCCATAAACCCTGCTCTAAAGGATTCCAGATACTCGATACTGCGAGCAAACTATCTGATTGCAAAGTATGCTAAGGGCAGGATATTTACCAAAATAGAATGTAAGCAAACTTTTCCTCAGATTCCTATACAAGAAGACCCCAGGGATTACTCAAGAAGTCTACCCACAAGGGTTGTTTTCGTTTCACCAAGCCATAGTTCGGTTTAAAAAGAAGACTGCACTATGAGGATGTATGGTGTATTGCGTGGCTCATGAGCGTCAATGGCGTTTTCCACTCAACATATCCAAGGAAAACATATGTAGGATTTCTTTGGAGAGTGGAAGGTTGATGTGTGATGTTTTTAACAATAATAAAAAAAGAAGAAAAACAAAAATAAATAATAATATTAAGATATTTATATTCATTATAATTCTCTCCAATTTATCAGTTTAGATAATTCGACAATTATAAAAAGATATAAATGTATCTAGATCTCGAATCGAATAATAAAATATATTTATTCACGCAAATAGAATAGTGTCTTATTCGTCGTAATACAAATCATTTGTGTTCTTTGAAAGAAAAGTAATATAATATTTTATTTACATATTACACAAATTTGACCGATGCAGGTTTAAGAATATCCACTTTAAAAAACCCCTGCATTCGGTCTAAACCCTTCCATTATTACCAGTTCCTAGCATATCGTGGTTTAAATCGTTTCAAATTAGATTGAGAGTTGAAAAAAAATAATATACTATACCGGTCGGTTTAGAAAATTTTCTTTATTTATTAAAACATATCTAATATAAATTACGTTAGTAACTTGATTAATTAAGTATTGTATAAATTCATATTTGTATAAAATACGATTTTTTCCCCCTTAATTTACAAAAAATATCTGGAAAGCAACAAAATACTATATAAAAGGGTTATAAAAAAAAAGTGTATTTATATATAATATGGGAAATATTACAATGAGATTCATGATTCCTGCATAAAATTGGATCTTGTTTCCCTATTAAAATTATAAAAATATTTATAAAAAAAATCACGAATTTATTTCTAATATTTAGAAGAGTATTTTTAAAGGTATTAATATATCAATAATTTTGTTAAAAAAATTTTTTTGGTATTATAAAATGCATAAAAATTTGAGAAAACTAAAGGGGGAAAAGAATATATAATCCTATTATAAAGGTTCATATAACAAAATATATTGTTCAATTGCGGTAAAAAAAATATAAAATATATATAAACTTTGGTATAGAAAAAGCCGTAAATACAAGTATACAATTTAATATGTAGTATCAAAAATATTTTCTGATTATTAGAACTTATTACAATGCGATTATAGGAAAAAAATTTTTTTTTTTTTAAATATACACTATATAAATAAATAAGCAATCTTATTCAGTTAAAAATATAAAAGAAAAATATTAATCATAATAAAATAGTAATTTTTATTTAAGGGTTGATTTCGGTTTCTCCAATTTTCCCCCCAGCAATTTGGTCGTTTCCATTGGTCATTTTAACTTCCCCATTCTTGCCGGCAAAATCGATAACATGGTGAGGACCTTTGCTACAACAATGAACGCAGTTAGGGTTATGGGCGGCATTATTCCATTTCCCGGCCCAAAATGCTTCAACTATGGGTGTTATAAAGGTCTTACAACAAGCTGACCATACCTTTAAAAAAAAGAAATGTTTGTGCATTAATAAATAAAAATGAACAAGTTATAAGCCGAGTAAATATTTGTAAGGGTGTTTATATATTATTTGCATAAAACTAATTAACATGATAAAAATAAGAATTTTCAAGCGTAGTTTCAAATATCCTTATCTTATATTTTCTTAGTTATCAAAATGAATGAAGAATAGTAAATTAAATAAGCATGGAGGGGGTTATGTTTGAAAGATAAAATTGATAATAATTGGCATCAAAGATATAAAACCGAAATTAAAATCCTATTCTAAATATGAAATCATTGTAAACTAGGAAAATTTTCAATAGATAAATAAATGAGATAAACTCTTATAATATTATATAAACCGCCCTTATACTAAACATATAAGATTTCTTAAAAATAATATAGGAATAATGGTTCATTTTTACATTTATCATAATCCTTATTGCTGTGATGCATAATAACATGAACATATTAATGTTCTACATTATTGATGACAGTAAAAAAAATTTTGAAAAACAAAATAGATACATGCAAAAGAGTGACTTATTTTTTTAGGAACAAAATCATAATTATTTTATCATTTCATTGTTTAAATTTTTAAATAGGTTTATTTACAATAGGGAATAACATCTACTATTTAATTTTTTAAACAAAAATAAACGTTACTGATATTTGTTTATATAAAGGTTACCATTAGATAATTATTATAAAACATATTCAAAAATAAAAAATTATATCTATTGAATTTGATGTTCGAAAATGTAGCTTGAAAATAGTTTACATTTTAATAGAATATAATCAATTTGTCAAATGATAAGATACACATACAACATACCTTATATATCCATATCATAATTAATTATATATCATAAAAAAAGAGAAACAAATTATATATTTCTTTAAGAGATATTCATTAATTGAAAATAATTATTTCCGAAATATTTTCTTTTTGTTATTTGTAAAAGTAAAAAAAAAAAACTTACGCGTTGTAACAGTTCCATCCAAACGCAGAGAAAGCTTATGATTGGTCCGAGGAACCATACGTTCAAAATACAAGAAATTGTCATAAGCAGTGCCCATATGAATGCTAAAGGAATGGCCAAAATGGCGGTGAATACTCTGTAGAGTAACAGGCTAACGAAACTGAAAATCCCTTTCGAAGTATTCCATACCAAGTCGTAACTGTGATAATTATCTGGTTCCGTGAATAATTGTTCCATTTCGGGAATCTAAAAATTTTTTTAAAAAAAATCAAAATAAAGACATTTGGTTATTTTAAAATTATTTATAGAATTATCTAAAAAATGTTACACAAAATAAATCCTGAATTTTTATTTAATTAAAATTTAATATTTTTATTTAAAAAAAAAAATTAATATAATAACTTTATCAGTCAGTATCACGCAAAGAAGATGGTGTTTCAATGTGTATTGTTAGGGAAAAAAAAATATATATTTAAAATAATAATATATAATTTAATGTTTATTGTTTTGTTTAATATTGATAAAGGGGGGGAGAGTTAATCTGTAATATATAGTGTTTGAAAAAAAAGAGAAGATATTTCTGTTATAACAACAACACCCACATTGTAAATACAATATGCAGACAAAAGTATTATAATATATTTATAATGCCATGCCACGGTTAAATAATATTAGGGAAAATTTTGTTGGCGAATATAATTAAATTAATCGTAATATAATAATAAAAAAATATAGTTTGACTTTTTATAAACTATAATTTTGCACTTAAATTTCAAATACACCCCCACCTCCCCCCCCCCCTTCCCCAACAAAAAAAATGTTCTATTTCCTCTGGATCCCATATTATTAACATTGCTAATTTGTTAATTAAAGTTCCCAATTTTGGATTATAACTTTTATATCATGTACTAATTACTAATGGGGAAGAAAAAGGATAATTCAATTTGTAAGCCATAACACTAATAAATTTACAAATGGTTCTATTTTTTTTATATATAAAAAATTAATCATTATGGTCCAGTGAATTCGTTGAATGAGCAAACATAAAAAATTAATTATATATATTATTTTTTTTTTATAGTCTCGTAGCACCTGTGGTGTACCATAACACAATTATAATAAAATATTATAAACAAAAATAATGATAAATAAATCTATAGTTTTAATGTTCTGCGTCGGGCCTAATTTTCAAGCCCGGCCCGAATTTATTTAAATATAGAAATTAATTTTTATAATTAAAAATAAAAGATATTATTCTATAAATAAAATCAAATATTTTTTACACAAAAAATTCAACAAAAAGGTGATAAATTTTAAAAAAAATTCCAGTCCCAACTCGCCCGAATTTTTTTTTCGGGTTGGGATCTACTTTTGCACATCTCTAATAAAAATAATTTTCAGTTTAGACCATTTTTAAAAGCAGTATTAATTAATTTAAATGATATCTATTGGTGTTGTTAAACGGCTAAATCCAATTTTATAGCCAAAAAATTACGGAAGCTTGGAGATTTCTGTCATCTATGAGCAAAATCTCTAGGCTTGTGTAAAATATTTGATAAAGAAGGAGGTCAAATTTGATAATATTGACATAAAAGTTTTTTTTAAAATAATCATTTTTAGCGATTTTTTTTTCTAACCCCCCAAAAATACTAATTATTTCCCAATTAATCAAATGTTTAATTTTATTTTTTAGTTGAGTTGGAAAATTTTGTATAAAGTATTATTTTTCTTTAAAAAAAATTTATCTTAAAATCAGATAGACCTTTCAATTTGAATAAAAAGCTTTAAATTCAATTTTAAATAAAAACCTTTTTAATATTAAGCTTTATTCGGGATTTTAAATTAAAAATGATTTTCTAATCCTATTGAGTAAAGCACATTTTCCAAGTAAAGTATATAATTTATAAAATTAACCACTAACTACATAGTTTACATTTAATACATTCACTTCACATATTACATTATGTATATGGTATATATTTTCATACTACGATATATACATATATTTGGAACAATACCAAATGATGACTGGATGTGATTGCGATATATAAAAAAAATGAATACAATGATGAAAGCACATGTGGGGAAAAAAAATATATTAGTGGTTTGGTTAGTGAATATAAATACAACATTAAAATATAAAATGCCCAAGAACATATATCGTATGTATTGGCCACATGTTACCATTTATAATAAATATATATATATTCCATTTGCGTTAATTGATTTATTCACGGCTTAGTAACTTCCGATTATTAAAATTCAATAATATATTTTAAAAAAATATATAACTTCAGGATATTATTAATTAGTTAAATTATTTTTTAAAAAAAATCATCTTAAATTAATTAGAGAAGTTTTCAAAAGGGGTGGGATGGCAGTGAGGTTCCGGGTGTTAAATCATTTTAGCATGTTTGATAAATAAGCTACTACATACTAAACATGATCACCAAGTCAAAATGATTAGATTGATGATATATTTATGGAAAATTTCACAAATTATGTTAGTTTTTGAGTGATAGACCTGATAACCCTAACCTAAATCGAATCCAATCTGATTACTTATTAAAATTTTTATTTTAGTCAGAACACTAATAATCTATACATTTTAATGGCCTTTCAGAAGAAAATAGCTTCATGAGATTCTTTCGGTTTTTGATTATCGAGTATTGCTAATTCACTAAAAATAAACAAATTTCTGAGAGTTCAAGGATACGCGTTAGTTAATTCATCATTATTTTTATATTTAAATATTCAATTTCAATGATTTTTTTTTACTATATATTTATCATTATTACATTACAAAACACATTACATAAAATTTACATTTATCGGCCATAATATCATCAATATATTATATATAAACGATGACTATAAATACAATATTTATTATGTTGTCTTCTTCTTCATTTTTTTATACCTTTTTATATTTTTTTCTAAAATTGTATAACTTTAAATTATTATATTATTGAGGTTATTTTTTTTACTATCATTTTAATTTATACAAAACACAAAAAAAAATTTTTTTTTTTCACATCTCTACATCAAAACCAAAAAAATTATATATATATTTTTGTATACTTTTTTCTACTAAAAATATAAAAAATAAAAAGAGATAAACTTTAATTTTTGAAATAATAATAATATTTTTGATTTATAGTATAAAAAGAGAATATATGAAATAAGGTAATAAACGCGGGAAGAGGCGACTAAGGTGAAAGAGAATTTTTTTTAAATATATATATCACGCATATATTAGGGAAAGAATTTATTATTATTATTATAAGGCTGCTTTTTCTTTCTCTCTCTTCGCTCACTTCGATTTAAAATGTTTAAATGAATGCATAATATGAATAATTTATATGAGGATGTCCTTCCTCCTTCCCTTCCCACTCTATTTTTCGTATCATACATTATGTTAGTGTCAATGTGTTATTTTTTTTTCCACTTTAAATCATTCTGATTTTAGCCGGAAATGTATTCCATCATATTTGGAATACCTATTCTATGAATTTCTAGAACAATTTTGCTAAGAACCTTTGAACTTAATACAATTTATATTCATTTTTTCCACAGGTTTTTTTAAATATAAATTTAAAATGACTCAAAGTTATAGGGAAAAATTGTCTACAATTCATAGGATAGGTGTTCAAACATGTTGGAATACAATTAATTTTTTTTTTAGAATAAAGCGCTTAAAAATAACATATCGACGCTAACATATATATATAATAAGAAGGCTTAATACATATTTTAAAAGAAAAAAAACACTTATAAATATTTGGTTATATGTTCGGTATTACTGGGGAAGACTTTTCGGAGTTATTTTGGGATTAATGACCATAATTTTAAGTGATCCTTACATAACCCTCGATTTAGCTAATTTCTTAAAAATCAGCGAAATCACTTTTTGATAAGCCCTCATAAATTTCAATTATAACATCCAATAAAAATATGGTTAACTTATATTTAGAATCGATCCATTAGTTGTTCTCGGTTATTCTTTCGGGACAATCAAATGAACCCGACAATAATTCTAATTTGTTTTATTGGCAATATAAATGTGGTATGTTACATTTAAAAAATGTCTAACAGTAGCTGTCATCACTAGAAAGTGTGAAGCCTCCGTCCCATATATTTTTTTTTCCGTGTCCAAAGACAGTTGAAATATGGCGTTAATTGTTAATATTTATTTTTTAAAAAAAGATTATAAATGATGCAGGGTTAATGGGATGAGGAAATAACCATTAATAAGTAAAGCATCATTCACATGTTATTAGTGTTGTTAAACGGCTCGTTTTGAGCCGATTTTTTAAAATGGCTAACTCAATATTTTGGCCAGAAAAATATGTCCTAAACCTCGAGATTTCGATAATATATGTATAGAACTTTGTTCCTTCTAAGAGCAAAATCTTCAGGCTTGCATAATATTTCTCTGGATGAAGTATTTAGTTAGCCGTTTTTAAAAATTGGCTCAAAACGAGCCGTTTAACAACACTACATGTTATAGATACTACTTAGAATTAGAAGAGTGCTGACGATTCATTTAATTAAAATGTGCAACAATACAAATCAGCTGATGACAGGCCATTTTTGTATCTCATGTAAGATACATTATAATTTTTAAATAAATTATAGATTATCATTTATTTATATAAAAAAAAATACCAATATGGGGAAAACAAAATGTAGTGGGTTCCTCCACAAGCTGATTTTGAGTTCAAAAAACACTTCAAAATGCATATTAATGAATGAATTGTCGGTATTAGACAATATTAAATGCCTTTGGTGGTAAAGTTAAAAGTCGGAATAATATTTTTAGATATTTAGTTAGTATTAATATTATTATTATATATCTTTCTTTCCCTTTCTTTCTAAAGTCTAAACCGGTTAAGCCCAGCCAGAATTATTTATTTTTTTATATTTTTAAGCTAGGCCCAGCCCGGATTTTTAAAATTATACCATTTTTTGGCGGGGAATGAAAAAAAATACAATTGTAATTTTCCTCGATAAAGATTCAAATGAATATATTTTAAAAAAATGTTAACAAATAAAATAATTTACAATGTTAGAATTTATGCCCTTTTATTCGAAGCATAAGGTTTCTGCACACAGTTACTTTTATAAAAAAAATATGTATCTCATCGTTTCACGGCGGGATGATGTCTACAATCGTTTATACTTAAAACGGATTATTCTAATATGAATAACAAAATTATTCGATTCGAACGCTTAAGGAAAAAAAATATTATCTCATAAATGATTCTTATAACTTATAAGTATATCACATATTCCTTGTAGAACTTATTATTTTTTTCACTTTTTTTAAAAAAATATTTTTAAAGAATTGAATTTTCAAATCGAATTCATACGAATAATATACATATCGATGTAGTTAAAATCGTGTCGTGTGATAGCTTTTTATGGCTAATTTTGTCTTTTATGGCTGAATGGGGGAGTGAGTGGGGATTTGAACATTATATTTTTACTAAAACTTTATACATTTTTATAAATATAAGATCTATTTGTAGTAAGCGACTCAAAATAGGAGAGGAGGCCATGTATTATTTTTTATTATAATTAAAATTCTGACAACAAATTCTAATTATTATAGAGTATAGTATGGAACGAAATCATTTAAAGAGGCCTGCATGAATAATTAGATAATGAAAGTGAGATGGATTGGAACTGGAGATTTTTCCGAAAGAGGGGGGGGGGAGGGGTAGGGTTGATGGCTAATTTTTTGCCACATTTCGATCACTTTTCGCCATTTTTATAATGAATAAGCAGTTTGAAATATAAATTAGCTAATAAATAAGACTAATGATGTAATATTTATAATTTATGCAATATGTTATAATACAATAGGTTGTTAATTTATGTATAATATATTATATTACTTTTATTACAATTCACTTCTAAGTGTATGAAAATTGCAAAAATAATCAATATTTTGTTGAGCAAGGGGGGGGGGTCCGGATCTGGTAGTGGTTATGGCCCTGAGGTCAGATAATATCTTATTTTAATTTTTAAAAAGTTTTTTTATATCGAATCCTTAAAATTACTTATCTTAAACTTGGAGGAAGTTCGAATGAGTTTTCTACATCAATATGCAATCAGCATATTATTGCCATAATTGTATTATTAATTAATCCCCTACTTCACCAATATAAATATACCCTATGTTAACCATTTTAAAATATCTTATTAAAATAGGGGTATTTCAATACAGGTGTTTTTTTTATCCGGGGTTATCAGGTTACCAATGTCAACATCATTAATATGTCTTAAAAAAATGTAGTGATTAGATGGCATGTTAAGAATAATGTATATTAAATAAAATAAAAAAAATTAATTTACTATATTTAATTGTTAATTATTAACCACTAATTCGTGTACGCAAATACGATCGATTTAAGATTCAAGATAATCATTCATTCATAATTTTTTCTTTTTTTTAAAAAAAAATAATTATTCTTTTAATCCCCCCCCTCTTCTTTCAAGTTGATATGACAAATTCTTTGTATAAATGAGCTTATAATTTTCGTTTATTTGCCATTTAACCTTTTTTAATGATTTAATTCAATTTTTTTAAAAAATATTTAAACTCATTATTACCCTAAATTAAAGAAAAAAAAATTTTTTTTGTAAAGAAAAAAGATTAAAAAAAATTTTATAATCTCTTTTACAAACAAATTTTCATGTTTTCCTATTGGAGTACAAATACAAATTTATAATATAAATATAATAATTTTTTTTAAATTACATTTTTTTTAATATTTTTGTTAAGAAATTATAAATTCGTTTGAAGAAAATAATAAATTTTTATAAGCTCTGAAAGTTTGCCTTTTTTCCCTATATAATATTAAAAGATAATGAACCCTTTTTACATCAAAAAAATTGTATTATGGAATTTAAGATCAGCTCGATCAGTTGATCTTAAAAATATCGGTTATCGGTTACTATCGTTTAATCTTAATTATATTATTTAAAAAATCGGATCGGCCAATATCGGTTATTAGTTGATATCAACTTGATATGCATAACCGGGTTTAAAAACTTCTTTAACTATTCAGTATATATCAGTACACACACGCGTCTAATTATAATTTTAACTAAGGTATTAACGTTAAATGTTTCATAGATTGTAGTTACGTTTTGTTAATATTGAATAAATAGCATGTAAGGATGACTTTAATATGAGGTATCCGAGTTTTATCCAAAAAAATAGCTATCGGCGCAGCTTCTAAATATAAGCTGATTAACGGTTTAAGGCCTGGTCAACTCTTTTAAAAGGCGTGCACTATTTTTTAATATTGAAGGCGTTTTAAAGTTAGCGTCCAGACCTAATCGTGACTATTAAGCTGGAAAAAAAAAGTTCTCGTACTTCATAGGTGAGTCCATTTAGCAAGCCTAATGCTGGTAAAGGACATTGTTAAATAAGATTGATTGGATTTGGCCATTTTCTATATATAAAATTGTGTGGGCCAAAGTTTTATTTTTACTCTGCCGCCCCTAAGAAAAACTTCTATGATTAATATAAAAAAAATATATGGACCCGGGTTAGTTTGTTTTTTTTAAAGATAGATTATCAGTGTTTCATCTTTCAGTAAATAGTTTAAACAATAATTCATTTAAGCACAACATGCTTCCTTTACACAAATGAACGTAATACATTTTTTTTTAAAAAATACTAATATTGCCGTTTGCCAAATGCATTTGATAAGAGATCCGCAATGCCCTGATAGGCCGGGTTCTGAAATATATTTTTTTTGCATATTCGATGAATTCTGATATTTTACATAGTCCGCCACAAAGTAGTGTTTTTAGAATTAAAAAGCTCCTCAAGATTTTAAATGTTGTCTATTATGGTGTTCAATGAAATGTAGTAGATTTTTAAAAATGGCCCAATCAAGATTTTAGCCAAAATAAAATAATGTAAGCCTCGAGATTTGGCAAATAGAGGTCCAAACCTTTCTGCCCGTCTATGAACCAAAATTTCCAGGCTTTCGTTAATACTAGAAGATCTTAATCGGGTTAGTGTTGTTAAACGGCTCGTTTTAAGCCGATTTTAAAAACGACTTACTCAAAATTTCGTCCAGAAAAATGTTATACACAGGGCCTGAAAATTTCGCTCATCGAAGGAACAAAGGTCTAGACATATAATATCGAAATATCTAGGCTTAGGTCAATATTATTTTGGGTAAAATATTGAGTTAGCTGTTTTAAAAAATCGGCTTAAAACTAGCCCTTTAACAACACTATAATCGGGTCGTTTTTAAAAATCGACCCAAATACAATGTATTTTTTAAAAAAAGAAGTTAAAAACCAGGCCGGACTACCTTAGTAAAAAAAAAATTTTCAAGGTTTGGGCATTACCTAAAATTCCAATGGTCCTGGTCGGGCCCCTGAAACTTTTGTGATTTTCAGAATCTCTGTTGATATATTATTTATTTTAGCTATACTCACTTTACTTAGTATTCAAAATGAATACCATTTTAAAAAATAAATAGTCACTATAATTAAGTTTTACAAAAATGATGCTATATTTGATTAAGAAAGATAGAAAATAAATAACAATTTAAGCTAGTCAAAACATAATTAAAATTTGATTTAAAAAAATGGAATAGAAGGTTTGGTCATCCTGGCTAGATCTTATTTTTAATTTTTTCTGCCCAACTCATGGTCATGGGGCAGGCGGTCCATATGCAGGCATCCGATAGTTTATAATTTTTAGAATGATTTAAGACAAAGGTTTGCTCGGTTTAACCAAAATTTGAATTTCGATTTTAATCCAAGTAAAAATTTTAAATGCTTTTTATGGGTTCTTCAGTTTTTTTTTCTAGATTAACCCCCTCATTTACAATTTGAGCGAAATAGTGGAGAACTATACAAATCATTCTGTATTTTTTATTCCTCGCAGCGAATTCTTGCTAACTGTGACAGTACGTTAACTAAGAGAGTTACCCGCCGATGTACCCTATCTGAGATGACTGGATTGATTTGTTTACCCCCCCCCTCCCCATGTTAGTGAATAATGGCATGCGGTACCAAGATTCAGAATCTCTCAAAAAATTATTTATTGAGGGCTATTTTAAAATTTGAAAAAAAAAATCAAAATTTGCGAAGCAGGCAGGAATGCATTTCATGTTAAATCAAAATTTTCAGGAGTAAAAATCGTCCTTAATGAAAAAAAGAGATGGTATAAAAAAACTGGCCAAGGTCGTGTACATATACCGGTCTAGAGCAGTCCCTAATTTAATTCTATAGTACCGGAAAAATTAAAAGACCGATCCGAGTTGCGGTCTTCGGAAAGACCGGTTTGTCGATCAATCCTCTCCGATGTCGGTCAAAAAATACCAATAAAACCTGACTGTTTACCTTCACTGCTGACCGGGCCGACCTAAGTTTTTATTATCAACTATGAACCGAGCTTGGGGTAAGATTAAAAACTGTTTTAGACCGCGAAATGGGCCGAGCCTAAATTTATTATTTTCCCGTATTCCTGGGCCGGGTATGGCCACAAAATTTCGGCCCGTGCAAGCCATGCTGCAAGGTTTTAAATATAAATCAATGAGTTACAAAACTAGGTACTGTCAATTTTGCCGTGTTAATTTAATTATAATAATAATTACAACCTTAATAATTATTATAATAAATTTCTAAAGATTAGGCTACAAAAAAAAATGTACATATGAATGAATACTATATTTACCTCGAGGAAATGATGTTGCGATAATTTATTGTTGGCGGACTTCAACGCATCGTTATTAATTTTGGAATAAGTAAAATGATTGAATACGCGATGAGGCGTTTTGCCGGGGATGTCTTTGGAATCACCGTTATCGAACTGATCTAACTTCATAGACATTTTTTGATTATGATGGGGGTCGCATTTCCAAAAACTCCGTTTACAAGAAGCCCCAAATACTCGGGTTAAACTGTTTGCAGCCGAATATGGATCATTGTTGAATTCACTTTTGAATGTTTCGGTTTTGTTGACCCCGTCGTTATTGCCGCTAAAATTTGGATTCGAGCATTCCGAAAGTATTTGAACAGAGTCTTTGTCCCTCATACCAACGTCCCCTGAGCTGCTGCTACTTGGACCGTCTTTGACGATATCTTCTTCCCCAGTTTCAACACTTTCATAAGCATTCACCTTGCCCAAGTTGAAAACGTTTCTTGCCGTGCCCACTAAAGATGCCTGAAACCCTTTTCCAACTTTTACCTTACCGTTGTTACCTTTAGTCGTGGTCTGGTCTGTATCGCAAGAATTATTAGTGTTTTCAACGTTCTCGCTCACTCTTTTATCTTCTTTACATTTTGACGTATTTTTGTTGACCACCAAGTCTAAATTTTCGGTATTCAATGCTGCATCATTCCCGCTAGCTTTGGAATTATCGCCATTATTTGCGCCCTTTTTAGGCTTCTTCCAAAGTTTGCCTATCAAGTTTATATTGCTCGATTTTTTAGGGGTGGCCTCGCCATTCAACAGCGGTTGCTCTTGTAATTGGCTCGTGTTGTTAGTCAGGCAGAGTATAGTGTTATCCTTATCGAGTCTGTTATATATGTGATCGGGCGATTCTTCGGCCAATAGAGTCATGTCAACTTTTTCTTGATCGAACAGCGAGATTTCTTTCTTATCGTGCTGGCCGGACGATCCGTATTGAAGCGGATGCAAAAGGTTGTTCAGATTTGTGGCTAGATCGGATTCCAAGCAATCCTTGAACAAGTGCACGCTATTGTTGTCGTCGTCCTCGTTGTGATTGTTGTAAGCGGTAAAATTATTTTCCTCGAGCGATTTGGACGCGTGTTGTTGAATGAAATCAGATTTTATGCTGCTGATATTGTTGGAAACCAGGTTCAAGCTGGAGTGGTTGCTTAAGGAATGATGCCGATTATCCGGCGATAAATTATGGTCTATATCGTTGTGGGGAGATGTAATCAACCCTTTAGTTGCCATTATTATATTTTTATCGATAAATTATCGGCGAAGCGTTTTTTTTAAATATTTATCTATCGGAATTTACGTTTTAAAATAATTATTTTTATTTCTATTTATTTATTAAAACATAAGCGGATAAAAAAAATAATATTATTGGATAAATTATATAATATGATTGTAGATGATTATATTATAAAGTGTTATATTTTCTAAAAAATTTTATAACCATATGGCTATTTCTTTCATTTTATATAATAATTATAAGAAAAATTTACCCTATCAAAGTTAAAATCGTTATAAAGAAAGAAAGGGTGAGCAATGTGGAAATAATTCGTTATTCCTTTCTTTTAATCATCATTATATTTTAATATGATGATCTTTATGAAGAAAACGAAAACTTTTTATTCAATAGATATTACCGCGAAAATTCGCAACGAAGTAATACAAATGAATGTAATTATATATTTATATCGTTATACTTCGCCGCTAATTTCCGATAACATGTCCAAAATTAAGGGGTGGCAGCGAGGAAGTTTTACTTGAGGGGAGGGGGAATAAAATAGGTATATTTCCCCCTTTAATACTTTTTAATTTTATCGCTTAAATTCATTATAATATGATAATGGATTAGTGTGGTTAAGCGGGATCGATTTAGTTAATTTTTTTAAAGCGGCTAAATAAAGACTTTCGCCTGTTGATAAATGTCCAAACCTTCCTGCCGCCACCTATAAGAAAAATTTCCTGGCCTGTCGAATATCATTTGATTTGGCTAAAGATGCTAGTTAACCGTTTATAATAATCGGGTAGCTCGGGTCGTTTTACAACACTATAATCGATATATCTTTCCATTTAAGTTAATTTCGGTGATACTCAAATCTTCCCCGCCAAAAACCCCAGCCCGCACATTTTTTCTGGTTGGGTCTGGCATGTGAAATATTTTTTTCTTCTTCTTCTAAAGCTTAAAAATCCACCCAGACAAACCTGTTAAAAAAAATTTAAGGCCGGGCTAAAAATATCGAAAACTGAAACCTAAAAGGAAAATGTTGAAGTAATTCATTACGTTTTTATGAAGAACACTACAATGTGCAGATTTTACTGTGTATAAAAAAAATTTAAATTGTGGCAGATATTATTTTTCATCTGGGGCTGGGCCATTATGCCCTCATGTGGTCCGCTTTTGCCCGGCTTTCGGCCAAATCCACCGATGGCATCCTTGATTTTTATTTATGTACTTATTTTTTTTAAAAAATATATTGATTAGGAGAAAAGGAAAATATTTTAAAAAAACCTGCAGAATTTTATTTTGCAAATTCGAAATCGTTGATTCCTTCAAAGTGGTTGATTTTTTCAAAAAAAATTTTTTTTTAAATGGCTCTCTCGATTTCAATTAGATATACCAAATCGAAAATAGCACAACACAAATGAGACACCTTTTTTTTCTCCGTAATTTTTTGGATTTTAAATATTTTATTTTACTTTCTAAACAGCTTTTTGGATACAATCTTAAAAAAGAAAAATTAAAACATTTCAAAAACAAACAAAGAAATTTAAAAATAATATGGAAGATTTTGTGGTAAATTTGTGGGAATTTTAAAAGGCCTACTTTACAAATTGCCCTAAAATGTTTTTTAAAAAAAATTGGCCGTCGGAGAGAGGGCGTCATTATCTCTAGACTTTCCCGCGAAAAAAAAATATATTATCGAATGCAATTATAAAAAAATTGAATTTCTATAACCGCCTACTAAATAACCCCTGCATTCACAGTTAGCGTTACACGGCGAAGTTTATAAAAAATGTGCGCGAAATGCTTGTTTTTTGTATACTTCGCCCGCTTAACTTCGATATCTTTTACCAATAAAATTAACTAAAACTAGAATCTTCTAAACCCCAGATATGCCAGCCTGGTTTCTAGCATTTTTGTTGTGCTGTCATTAAGATATTTTAATTGAAATCGTAATCACCGATCGTTGTCTTTAAGTAAGCAACAGTGTGAAAAGTTATCCTTTTTTTTTCTTTAAAAATAATTAAAGGTATCATCATATTCACATCTCAAATTCTGGGTTTTTTTTAAAAAGGTTATATAAATAAAACTATTTTATAATTAATTAATTTTTTTTTAAAATGACAATATCAATTCTGTATCATAAGATTATGTGGTAGATGAGCCACCTTGCCTTCCTAAATTTTACAATGTGTCTAGTATACGATAGATAACGCTATCATGATGGTGAGACAAAATCGATATAACTGGTGGCATAAATATTTTTCAAACGCTGATAAGGTAAAATGAGTTAGCAAAATTCAAATGAAATTTAATTGTATATATAATCTTTAATTTTCTTCATTTATATCTAAAAATTACTTATATTTTTTTTACTATTTTATTTTTAAGAGCAATTTAAGATTTTTCGCTATAATGCTGTTTATAGAAGTTGAAGTGGTGTTGACCAGATTATTTTGTCTATAATATACTTGTAACCGGTAGGGTATCCAGAATTGAATTTCGAAATCTATGACTCCCCCCCCCTATCGGCACTGCGTATGACTAATAATAGTCGGTACGAGGATTCCAGTCTTTTCTTCTAACTAACTAGACTTTAATATTCTGATAGCTAAATATATTGATTATCACTTATACACCCGGGTTTAGGTAAAGTTAGCTTTAACATAGCTCCCAATTATTGTACTATCAAATAATTAAACGAAACTAAATATTTGATTTTACTCTACGCTTTTTACATTATATTTTACATTTCGACGAAGATTTAAGGTTACGAATTGTTAAACGGCTCGATTTGAGCCGATTTTTTAAAAACGGCTAACTCAATATTTTAATAAGAAAAAACAATGCCCAAGCCTGGAGATTTCGCTAATAGATGTTCAAACCTAAACATAAGAGAAACCGCGGCACGTTAGGAACATAGGACACATTCCAATTTTTTCCCCAAACATTCATCACATAAAAGTGTGTAAATGTAAACCTAACATAACTAATTGTATCATTGACTAAAAAAAAAAGATTTCAAATATATTTATTTTATTCTTTTTAAAATCTTTTACAAATGTAAATATGTGATTAACCATTCTAAAGGGTAACAAAAAATAAATGAAACTATTAGCTTTGAAATCCCAATAAATAGATTTCGAGAAAGTTTAAAATCGCTCCATTTGAGCCGATTTTTAAAAATGGCTAACTCAATATTTTAGCCAGAAATATTGCTTAAACCTTGAGATTTCGTAAATAGATCTCCAAACTTCTGTGCCAATTTTGCTTCATAATGATCACGGGTTTGGCAAATTTTAAACTAAATCATATAAAACATGTTTTGAAAAAAAACATGATTTTGCGGGATTCAGCGAATGAATAGGTAACACGTGCTATAAACTATTTAAGTTTCAAATATTTCCCTAACCTTCCTACGACTTGAAGAAAAAATACAACCCCCCCCCCCCCCCCCCAAACCTACATCAATCTCCCTTTTCTCTTATATGCTTGAAAATAAGGCCCAATACGAAAATGTTATATGGAAGTACACTTTATGTACCAGATGTATAATCATATATCATATCAATGTCTTACGTGTTTGATGAGAAGAATAAACAGAATTTGTATAAAACAAAAATGAATAGTTAAAAAGTCTCGCTGGGAAAATCGCGACATTTTGTTCGTTGTTTTTTGAGAACTTATGCAATTTTTTTTTAAAAAAAAACTTTGGGGCCCGTTTTATCCCTAAAACGGTATCCCTTAATAGGTCACGGCTTGTAACGAAAAACGTATTTCATCCTGAAAACCTATTTCGTCTCGCATTTTTATGAAATATTTTATGTATTCAGATAGTGGTCTGCAATATATGATGGGCCGTGAGTAACGTCGAAAATCTTTTTTTGGGCCAGGCCCGGACAAAATTTTTTTTGTAAATACATATTTGATGAATTCGGATATTTCACAGAAGTTCTAATCCATAAAGTGCAGTGTTTTTGATTTAACTACTCTCCAAGATCACAAATAATTTTTATTTTGGTGTTCAACAAACATATATTTTGGTTTAAAATTAAACCGGGCCTGACAACCTTAGTGAAAAATCTAAAACGGGCCGGTCAAAAAATAAATTCCTACAAGGCCGGGGCGGGTCTGAGAGTTTTGCCACTTGCAGCCCTCTGGTGGTATAAAGCTTGAGCTTGACATCGCTATACCCTTATTTCGATAAATCAGAATTTTCAAAGGTTTTAATAGAAAATACATATCTCGATTCTTCATTATTTTTTGAACTTTTAATTTTAAGCCAAATTCTTTTTTTATATACGACATGCCCACAATTATTCGCGATTTATAGGGAGAGAATTCTCAAACATATAAAATATTTTCTTCAATCCAGTTGAACCAGAATACATTTGTTTAGTTTTCTTCCAATGTTTAGGAAATTCCCGCCAATTACTGTTGCGGCATTCCAGTTTTTTTTATTTCCAAGAAGAAAAATAATCTTAATTTCAATAAATATTCTTATTCCGATGGCGTTATGTCAAGTGTAGTTCTATTAATTTGCAAAAACATAAATAGTGTTTTCATTCGAAAGAACTAGTGTTAAAATACTATGACTTTAAGGACCATTTCATATTGGTAAGGTAAGGAATAACCCTATATATGTGATAAATTTATGCTGAAGAAACTTAACTATCTTTCTACAAAATTTATAAAAATCTAATGTTCTCTTTTACTTTTAGCAACGTTACCCGGTATATAAGGTAAGCATGCCAAAATGGAATCTTAACATCATAGATATAATATTCGAATTATTTAGTAGATACTATAGATACAGGTGTAATAGCAAAATACATTCCGGATATTTGTATTTAAGATACAGATTAAGAAATTATAATTTAACAGCAGACATATAAGTTTAACTCGTTTGTTCTGTTGTTTTATAAACTTTTGTCGTTTTTGTGATTTCCATACTCACACACAAATAGAAATATGTTATATACAACATTATACAATGTTTCTAAGCTAAATTTATAGTATAAATTTAAACAAAGACACTTTAAAAATGTAGAGAACTTCGATGACCTAAGCGACAAAATTATTAAAAGATAATTTTTAATACTATCAATAATTTACAAACTTTCGAAACTTTTAAGGAAAATCAATAAATAAGCCATTTTAAATTTAAAAATGTGTCAAAAAAAAATTTCAAAAGAAAAATTTAGCGCAACAAATTCATATTTAAAATTTGCGAAGTTTTGTAACTTTTCGAATTTTTTTTTAAGAATAGTTTTGGACACAATCCTTTACATTAGCAATACTTTTTGGATTCAGGTATATATATAATATATATTTTTTTTCCCGTATACATAGTAAAATTACTGGAGCCCTGAAATCAGGGCAGTTATTAATTGTTTTGTTTCATAGCAGTTATTAAATTGAACAATGCAAATTCTCTTCTTGAAATTAAAAATATTTTAAAATCAAATAATCGCTTTTATCTATAAAAAAATCAAAAATTAATATAATATATTTTAAAAAAAATCCTGGTCGGGTCTGAAAATTCTTTTTAAAAAAAACCCGGGCCGGACCCGGCAATGCATGATACCTCTGCAGGTCTCTGAAAAATACTAAAGGAATTCGTATTTATCATGTTATGCATTTTTCCCTAATAAATTTAATTTCTAATTTTTCTCTGAATTAAGAATCCCATTTAAATTTTATAAACGACGTTGGACTTAATGAATCTTTTCATCTCTTCTTTTTTTTACAGATTCATCTACTAATTAAAACTTTAATTTAAAATAAATAAATCGAACAAGGACAGTGACCCTATTATAATATAATATTCATTATTATGTCAAAATCTTTATTAAAAAATATATGATATAATTATCATTCAATTAGTATACAATTTAAAATTACCTAGAAAAATTTTTGGCCTAGAATTTAGATTAATATTACCATGGGATGAAGAAAAACCCAATATTGAATTATTTTATTTTTTGGTTATAAATTTATTTTAAAAGAAATAAAATATATTAATTATTTTTAATATATATTATAAAATAAAATTGTCGCTCAAAGAACAACTATAATATAACACAATAATGAATAATTAATGGTTGTTTTTTATTTTATTTTTATAAAATAAAATGGAAGAGTTTACAAAAAAAAATTGATAATTTTTCTCTGTATAAATAGCTTAATAATTCATATTTTAATTATTATTTATTATTATGGTGGTATGTACTGTAAATAACACGTAGGAGGGGGATGTAATGCATTAGTACTTTTTTTTAAATTTTAATAATGATGATAATAAATTCGAATCTCTACATTATTACATAGTAATAATATTAATTATTATTATTATCATTATATATAAAAGTAATAAAAAATAATAATGTCATAAAATATTAATTTTTATTATATTTTTAATAGGTGAGTAGAGAATATAAAGGGCCCTTTGTTGAATATAATAATAGTAAATTTTCTTGTCTCCTTTAATGCTACCTTTTTATTATAAATGTAATTTACAATCATCTACTAATAGTTTAATGTACAATTTTAGAAAAATGTTTTTTATGCCCTTTCATTCCCCCTATCATTAATATTATTTTCCTTTAATTTGAATTAAAATATAACCGTACATTATAATTCTTTGACAAATTTTTAAAATATCCGATATTTCCATCTCGATTTGTCTGCGAAATCTTATTTTCACTTGATCTTCATACCCTTATCATTTTTAAATCAAAAATAACTCCATGATATCTGGCTTCATATATTCCCTAAAATTGATCAATTATTACATTTATACAATAAATTTATAATAGGGTTAGCTAGAATTTTTACTTTTGAATAGATATTTTTAGGGGTTATAGGTCTATTTAATTTATTCTTTAAAAATAATGTTGGTTTAAAACACCTTTATTTATTTTTTTGTCTATTCGTTGAAATTTTTACCGTTTTTTAAAAAAAAAAATAATGTTAAATTATATTTTTTTGTGAGGGGCGACTGCCTCTGTATTGGCTTAAGAAAAATGGATTTTAAAGTCCAATAAGTGACCTTATTCTGAGAACGGTATGATTTGCAGATTTTTAAAAACGGTTAACTCAGTTTTCTATCCCGAAAGATTTTTCTCGTAGATGCTACAAAGTTTGGATATCTATTAGTAAAATCCTCGAGGCTAAGGGCAATATTTTTCCGGATAAAATATTGAGAAGTCGTTTGTAAAAATTCCTTCCTACCTTTCTTCTTCCTTCCTTCCTCTCTTTCTTTCTTTCTTTCTTTCTTTCTTTCTTTCTTTCTTTCTTCTTTCTTTCTTTCTTTCTTTCTTTCTTTCTTTCTTTCTTTCTTTCTTTCTTTCTTTCTTTCTTTCTTTCTTTCTTTCTTTCTTTCTTTCTTTCTTTCTTTCTTTCTTTCTTTCTTTCTTTCTTTCTTTCTTTCTTTCTTTCTTTCTTTCTTTAAATTGATACTTTAACAAAGCTACATTTCAAACCATTTTTTCAATACTAAGAACACTCATAATTGGCATACCAGTCCGGAATTGTCAATCGGGTTTGTCGACTTTGCCTGGCACGTGATTATTATTACCATGCCAAGATATATTGTATTTTGTACGAGTTTTGCATCCCAATTCGGAATTTATACGGCGCATTTATAGTTAACGCGTTATCTTCAAGCGTTGCGTTATCTTCAAGCGTTGCGTTATTACAGCTGACTTATTTAAGATGAAGTCAAAATAGAGATAATTATTTTTATATAATATTTAAGAAAAATCATGCATACATTTTTACGGAATTCGCTATTATTTTTATAATCGTATCGCCTATTTTTACGCTTTTCAAATTTTATCATAGCGTTATCATCAGGACGCTCTCCGTATTTATACTTATTTAATGGCTTAATATTGTAATAACCCTGCGTTAAATAAACGCAACGCTAAAATATAAACGCGTTTACTATAAATGCGGTCTTAAAAACGTTATCAAAATCCGGCCCATGCCCCCATATTAGAAAATTGCTTACTGGCGAAGGGTTTTTAATAAATATTAAAATAAAATCACGATTTTTGGATGAGGAAGAATATGTCCCTACTTTAGTGTTGTTAAAAAGCCCGAGATTCGGATCGATTTTTAAAAAACGACCCGATTAAGATTATAATCAAAATAAAATTATGTAAGCCTGGTGATTTTGATCACAGATGGCAGAACCACCCGCTCTGGCTACGCTAAATTTTAATTTAAAATAGGATGCTTATAGTATATACCAATGATACCGGCCTAATTTTTCTAGATTCTTTTGATAACAATTTATTAAAAAAAAATTTAATTTTCGTAATTTATTGATTTACAATTTGGATAAAAAATAATTTTATAATTTTCCCCGACACTAGGAAGGATCTCGATAAATTTACAAAGAGAGCGATTTTTGGAAAATTCTTTTACTAAGTGAGCTAGTTGGTACACAAATATTTTTTTTTAACGAGCTTAGTAAAGATATATGAATTTGATGTTCCTTCATTTCTGAAAAATTTATCTATCATGTAGATTAGAGAACCGAACCCTAGGGAGAATTTTTGACAGGATACAGAATGGGCGAGCACCAATCAACTGGACGTTCATCAGCAAAATTATTGTTAATTAAAACGCCAGGCAAGTTATTACTGACCGGGTCTAGCAATTAAATAAGAAAATATCGAGCCGGGCTTGACAATTTTTTTATATAAATCAGACAGAGTATACCTTAAATCTCCAATATTTTTTATAAACTTTTGATATAACTCGGGGCATTAAAATTTCGATATATATTATTATTATTTTTTGAATTTCAGGCTATTGATCTGTATACTATTTCAAAATAAATTACAATGTGCTATAGTGCACACAAATTTAGCTTTTCAAAACGCAAATAATAGATTTTAAGTGCATTCGTTTAAATTGGACAGTATTTTTTTTTGTTTTAAATTTAGACCTTTCATATTAAAAAAAAATAAATTAGCTGAGTTTACGTTTTTTTATTTGCGTTTTGAAACGCTGCGTTGAAGCGTAAAACTTTCATTTGTATTTTAAGTTTGTCTAAATAAAATATTGTCCAAAGTCAAAAAAGTATTTTTCAAATAAAATAATAAATGAATTCCTAACATTTGTACATTATGCGACCAAACTTTATTTCGTAAATTTCAGAAATAAATTTATTTATTTATTCAAAAAATAAACATTTTGACCTTGGACTCACCTTAAATCTATAAAAAAAAAATTAATATTGTTCATAATTAAGAAATCAAACAAGTTATTTATGGTTATATTCTGGTAACAAATATACTGAAACAGATATCAAAACACAATGATCTATAGAACGATAATTGTAGAAAAATAATAAGTCATAGGAAGAGAGATATAAGAGACTTTATTGACATTGGGGGGGGGGAATGAGATATAGATTATGAAAATGATGGTCGAAGAATTTATACAAAATGATTAGGGCGCGTAACAAATGGAGGGGGGGAGGGGAAATTTCACCCCCCTTAGCAAATTTGACTGTTTTTAGAAATATCATTTTAAGCTAATAAAAATTTTACCCCCGACCCCCCCCCCCCTTCCCCTGCCCCGTCAAAAATTTTCAATATCAAGCAGAGTTGCATTAATAAATTATTTTCCTATAGCTCACTACTATGTAGAAATTTACGTAAATCAAATTTTGATTTGGTTCAAATTATTGATTTGGAGGAAAATGTGGACAGGAAGAATGAATGTAGATGAATATTTCACAGGCGCGTACGCAGCGGGGGTGGGGACAGGGGGACAAATCCCCCCCCCCCCCCCAAGCCAAAAAATGCAGATGCCGGATTATATTTTTCAAAAATATTATTGTTAATATTAATTTATATTTGTTAATATTTATTCTTATCTCATATATACATATATATATATATATATATTTTATTTATCACATTCATCTACTAAGTTATTTTATCAATCAATTTCGATTTCAAGTTTTCCTTGGCGTAATTTACCTATTATTTTCAAATTTTAGTGGCGTAATATTTATCTAAATTTCTAATAAAATAATAATTATCTCTGAAACTCCTTGTCCAACAGGGAGAAAAAAATTGCAAGCTTGTCCAACGAGATCGAGTCTCCGCCACAGTAACAGCTATTTTGGAGTTAGAAGAGCTGATTATTAATGCTATTACTGAAATATCACAATGGCTTGAAAGAAATATTTCCTCAGAAGCAAGAAAATTATTGGATTCAATACTTATTCCAAATTTTTTTTCTCATTAGAATGTATTATTTAATTATACAACTATTTTATGTAATACTTTTAAAAACATAACATTGACTTGATTAAGAAGATGAGAATAGACGGAGAGCATTTTATTAGAACTCAAGGAAATAGAGCTAGTGTTGTTGAAGAATTTCATATTTTATATGTTATTGTTGAGTCAAAAGCAGAGCTATACGTGTTAAATATTTGTCCCCCTCGACTATGCAGCAAGCAAGCTCATCATCAAAACATTAATATAGGATCAGTAGAAGAGTATTATAAAACAAATGTCCCCTCTCCCAACCTTTTTCATATGGTGATAGAAAAAAAATATAAATATTTGTTATATTTTTATCATGAAGATGTTAAAATATCTTATGATGCCTTATTAGCTGAATAACTATGATTAAAATATTAACTATGGTTGATACAGTCCCAAAAAATGCTATGGATGCTTTTTATTTCAAACACATTTTAGATTATACTCCTAATTATTAAATGGTTATATATATATTAGCAGCTCTTTAGTAAACTAATGAGAGAACATTCACTTTTTTAAGAAGAATAACAGAGCCTTGCAGAGGTACCATTTGCAGGACCAGGCCCAGATTTTATTTTAAAATTTTTTCCGGCCCGGGTTTTTTTTAAAAAAATTTTCAGGCCCGGCCCGGCTGGCTTAGCCCGAATTTTTTAAAATAAATTATATTTATTTTTGATATTTATAGCTAATAATGGCGATTTCAA